TTGCTTGTCTTGTACTATATCTAGCACTGCATGTGAACTGGCCTTGTGGCCTTTACTTGTGCTCGGAGTGTGGTGACGTTGTGATCCACCCTGGGCTTTGCTTTGCTTTGCTGGACTGGTCTTGTGACCCTTTGTTCTCCCCCACTTTGCCTATGGGGGTGTGTTAAACTGTATTATGCTTGTAGGCTGTAGTGGGGTAGCCAATATGGGGTACAACCCCAACTAGGGTTTCATATTTGTACCCAAACCTCTCTCTCCTTTCAATCATTCTTGCCTAGTCTTTTTGACAACAGCCTCCTCAGCCAAATTACCTCCTTCACCCCATGGAACATCGCCATGTACTCTGATTCTACGGAAGAGAGTGCCGTCTCCGTCTGCTTCTTGGACCTCCAACTAACAGGTCCTCCCCCAACTACGCAAATGTATCCTCCCACAGATGAGGAATCCTCCTTCTCAGAAGCCCACGTAGCATCGGTAAAGCAAGTTAGAAAGAGCTTGCCTTCTCCAAGCCTCTCCCCCTTCTCTTTCAGCACCTCCACCCCTTTCTGCTTCACCTGTGCAGATGCGGAGTATTGAACTCCAATGCTTGGGTGAGAGTTCAGGTACTTCACCACACGCTCAGCTGCATCCACCTGCTCCTCTGATGGATTCTGCACCACCCTAGCCAGCTGCCCAACCGAGAAAGAGATGTCGGGCCTTGTGTGAACTGCTGCGTACAAGAGGCTGCCCACCAAGGACTGAAATTGCTGCTGCTCCTCGGCTTCAACCCCTTCATCCTCTGCAGCCTTCACAAGCTTGAATTCTGCTGGCAGGGAAGTTGCAACCTTGCGCTCATTCTCAATCCCATACTTCTCCCCCAGCTCCTTGATGAACTTCTCCTGGTGCAGCTTCAACCACCTGTGATCAGGATCCCTCTCCACGTGCATCCCGAGGTAGTACTTTACCTCCCCAAGGTTCTTGCACTTGAAGTTTTCCATCAGTTGCTGCTGCACTTTCTGGATCTCCTTCATGCTACTGCTGAAGAGAAGAATGTCGTCCACGTAGACCAGAAACAGCACCAGCTTCTCCCCCTCGCCCTTGAGAAAGAGGCTCTCATCACAGCTGCTGGTCCTGAATCCCATCTCCTCTAAAACAGCTGCCAACTTCTGGTACCAGCAGCGTGGCGCCTGCTTCAAGCCGTAGATGGACTTGTTGAGCTTGCACACCCTGCCTGTACCATCCTCATACCCAGGCGGTTGCGTCATGTACACATCCTCCTCTAAAATCCCATTCAGGAATGCCGTTGAAATATCCATCTGAATGATGAATTTCCCACTAACGGCTGCATCTGCCAACAAGACATGGAGGGTAGGGGGTTTGGCAGTGGGAGCAAAGATCTCGTTGAAGTCCTGCTTCTCCTTCTGCATAAACCCCTTCGCCACCAGCCTACTCTTGTAGATGGTCACCTGCCCCTTGTCATCGGTCTTGATCCTCAGCACCCACTTGCAACAAGCTTGTCTAATAAGGCCTGGCAGCTGGGTAGACTGAGGTCGCGCATCTACGGGTCCGTGGCGAGCATGACTCCGTAGTCTCTGAAGTGTCCTTACGACAATAGGTTGAAGCGGAGATCTGGTACGTAGAGCACGTCATTGAACGAGATGTGCGTATTGTTGTCTCGGGCTTGTAATACCATGATGCCTTGCGCACTTGCTCACAGTTGCTCGTTGTTGGCGACAGTGACGTAGGTGGCAGGGGCGTGACTGATGTTCGAGATGTACCTGTCAGATCCCACCATGTGTTGGCCGTAGCAGCTGTCCAGGTACCAGGTGTTCTGGTTTCTGTGGTCGTTGCGCAAGAGTAGCGCAAGCTGCGGAGTTACCAGAGTTGCCTTAAATCTTTTGTGGAATGTCGGATCTTCATCCTCCTTCCATCCCACAGGTACAAAGCGCTGATTGTCATGGGGCGTACTTTCCCGCAGTTGTATTGGTTTATGCCAATCTTGCTCGTCCTCGTCGTACAGGTAGTAGTGATCCTCTGTAAGGGGGTTGTTCCATCCGTTTTCAGGCTGAATGAGCTCGCCGCGAGGTTCTTCCTCTTCGTCTGGTTCAGTGGTGCGTGGGTGACGCCTTGTCGCCATGTTCGCAATGACGTTTCTAGGAGCTCTTGCTTGAGGTGCTTGGGTCTGCTGTTGCTGTGCAGGAGGGCGAGAAGTTTGTTGTTGAATCTAAGATTGACGAGCGTCTTGTCGGCCGACCCAATTGTTGTGGTGAGTGGAATTCGGGTGGCGATAGTTGGACCGGAATTTACAACGGTCCGTTGAATGTCCGAAGATTTTGCAGTAGTGGCGCCTTGGTTGTCGTCGCTCTTCACGGTTGTCTGTGTAGAAGGCGAGGCGCTCTCGGCGCGGCGCGGAGCTTGTCCTGCCCGAATCCATGTCCTGCAGTTCAGTCAGGAGGGTGGCACATAGCGCGGCTTCTGAGATGATTCCACGTTGTTGGAGTAGCGCTTTGCAGGGCTTCCACTCAGGCCCGAGTCCTTGGAGGATGATATTGACGAAGATTTCCCCCGAAATGGCGCTTCCGTGCTTCGTGATCTGGCGACGAATGTTCCGACATCGGTTAATTTATTTATTCGCTTTCTCCCCGTGCCCCATCTTGCTCGCCATGAGTTGCTGCAGGAGCCTGCTGGAGGTGACTGAGTCCTTCGGCTGATATACCTCAACGAGGTGCTTCCAGGCTTCCAGGGCTGGAGCGGCGCTCTCTTTGTAGGAGCGAATGCCGAGTTGTTCCGCAGGCGTCATATTACGCAGCAGCACACTATAAGCCATAAGGGACTCACTATAGTACTGAGCCCGGGCGTCTTCGGTGTCTTCCACCGGTTTAGGATAGGAGCCGTCGAAGTAGTGGTAGATCTGCGCTGTCTGTAGGAGGAGCTCCAGCTCAAAACTCCATGTATAGAAATCCTTGTCGTTAAACGTGGCAGCGGTCTTAATTTTAAAAACACCGAGGAATCGTGCTTGCGCAGTGTTGATGGCTTCATCACTTGGACGGGGAGCCGTAATTGTTGATTTGTCTGTGTCAAGGGAGAAGGTATGCGCGGCGGTATCACGACTTTTTGCAGCCGGTTGACCAGGTTGAGCTGGTTGGGAACAGGTTCCCGCGTCGCCTTTGCGCAATTTTTTGAGTTCTTTTTCCATAGTTGATAGTCGCGAGAATAACTGCTCAAGTGCGGCAGTGCTGATCGTAGTTGTCGCCTCATTTGTCGCAGCCGGGTTGGTTTGTCCTTCGGCCGTCAGATTTGTTTGGCCTCCGGATCCTCCGGCCATCTTGGTCTTGGAGCATGTGTCGCTCACCAGATCTAGGTTCGGCGAATTTTACGGAAGTGACGTTGCCAAGAATCCTTGAGTTGCTTTCATACCATGTTACGATCCCAAATGGGACTTAGCCAGGGATCGGCTCAGGGTTGTTCGCAGGTAGTGTGCGAAAGTGTTGATTTCATGTCAGAGTGAATGTAAAATGACTGAGATGATAATAGCATGCATACATAGAGTCTATATAAGAAATACAGGGAATACGAAAAGACCTAGACTAGCCATGTACTCTAAGGGGTACATTCCCTTATTACAGCGAAGTTCAAACCGTGCGACGCGGAAACATGTTTCAAACCGGTTCCCGCTCTTTTCATTTCAAACTGCCTGCATCGGTCTTGATCTGACGGTTGCTTGCGTCGCTTCGACTCTTCTGGCGTCTCGACTTCGTACTCGGTAGAGTCGGCTCCTGCAGCATACAGGAATGCCTTTTTATTGAATTTCATATTGTAACAAGAAGAAAGGGGATGAAGAGCAATAACGGGTAGGTGACGATGCGACATGACAAGGTACGAAGGCTAATGAGGGGAATTTACAAGAGGAGAGCAGGATGATGAGTGCGTTAGGGAGAGAGGGGTAAAGATTTAGATACAGCAGAAAGAATGATGTGTGAGAGGGAGCAAGTGCGGGAGAGAGAGAGCGAGAGAGAGAGAGAGAGAGAGAGAGAGAGAGAGAGAGAGAGAGAGAGAGAGAGAGAGAGAGAGAGAGAGAGAGAGAGAGAGAGAGAGAGAGAGAGAGAGAGAGAGAGAGAGAGAGAGAGATGTACTTGCCGTACTAGAGCCCGCCCTGGAGCTCCCTTAGGAGGCCTGGTTCTGTTTTGGTCTGATGTATCTAGATCTTGTCCGTTAGTTAGTTAGTTTAGTGCTAAAGGAAGAACGAACATGCATGCTTTTACCTATATGCTTGTATCAATGCACGGACCATGTGTGTGTGTGTGTATGTGTGTGTGTGTGTATGTGTGTGTGTGTGTGTATGTGTGTGTGTGTGTGTGTGTGTGTGTGTGAGAGAGAGAGAGAGAGAGAGAGAGAGAGAGCGAGAATAGGAGGGAGGGAGGGTAGGGTAAGAGATGTATTAAGAGTGGAAGGTAGGTGCAAGGATGGAGAGATTGGAGCAAAGAGGGAGAGAAAGAGAGCAGGGGTAAAGCTTGCACATCACGAGTGAGAATGGAGGGATATCCTTCGATGTGAAAGAGTGGGGATAGAGGAGCATCCATTTGTGTGTGTGCGCGTGTGTGTGTGTATGTATAGGTGTGTACGTTTATGGTTATGTATGAGTTTGAGTGCGAGTGTGTGTCTGTATGAGTGTGAGTATGTTTGTAGGTGTGTATATATGGCTGTGTGTGAGTGTGTATGTGTATGCATATGTGTGTATACGTGTGTGTGGGGGGGGGGAGATGTCTCATCAAGCATATGGTAGACCAGAAACCCAAAACACATCATCGTTAGAATTAAGATGGCATACAAAATGGTGAATAAATATTTCAGAATGGCTTATGTGTTTGAAAAAAATGCGTGTGGTGATATATGTAAACCCTAACCGTGATCAACCATATGTGAACTAATTTCCACGCTGTCAAAAGGGTGCAATACTCTTCATTGGAGTAAGAATGAGATGAATGGGGCATGCTTTGAATCCCCCCTTCCCCACACCCCCACTACATTCCTGACCCTAGAGGATGAAGACTAAATATGAGATAAATATGTGATTGAATGAGTGTTGTGCCAACAATAATGCACAGCTTCTTCTTCTTCTTCTTCTTCTTCTTCTTCTTCTTCTTCTTCTTCTTCTTCTTCTTCTTCTTCTTCTTCTTCTTCTTCTTCTTCTTCTTCTTCTTCTTCTTCTTCTTCTTCTTCTTCTTCTTCTTCTTCTTCTTCTTCTTCTTCTTCTTCTTCTTCTTCTTCTTCTTCTTCTTCTTCTTCTTCTTCTTCTTCTTCTTCTTCTTCTTCTTCTTCTTCTTCTTCTTTCGTTTTGTTTTGTTGTTGTTGATTTTTTTTTTTTGACCTGCCACGCTAATCACCAAGTTCTTCAATTGGCGAGAAGGATTCCCCTTTGGCAAATGCACGTGGGTGAAATCATTTGCACATTGTCATGATTTTGCAGCCAATATGCGACGTGCTAGCAGTTTTGAAAATCCTACGTTTCAGTTTGAGATATTTTTTTCCAAGTGGACGTTGGTTCTTTCCGAACAGCGTCTCACTACCTGATTGTTCTGAAGAGCTAGAGTATGAAGTATTGAAAAGTGCTAATATATATATTCTCCCGTTCGTTTGGAGAGATTGGCTGCGCAAGGTGTATTTCTGAAGCAGCTTAGGGTAAACGGTGCCATTAATACGGGTGGTCCACTGGCACTTTCCTACCACCTTCTACGGCACAGCCAGTTCGTTGACTGGGCTCGGATCGTCCCGTTGACTGGGCTTCCGTAACGGAAACATTCCACGCCACGATTTCGTTAAAGCCAGGGTCTCAAGTAAGCAAAGCAGCCATCAACTGCAAAGCACTCGTAGGCAGGCGAAGGTAGGTTACCTCGTTAGTGCAGGCGAATTTCTCTTTGGTTGGGTTGGAAACCTCCTCCCGACAGTGCCTCAAAAGCAATTGCACAAGTCTTGAGTACGTGAGACTTTCGACGAGTTTGGGGCATTTTAGGTTTGGATCCGAACCAGATTTACAAACCTAGAAGGTTCTGCTACACCTAGCGATTTGGATTCTTTTCGTGCCCCTCGCTTCACCCCTCTTCAAACTTCACAACTCGCCAGCCAATCACAAACAAACTTGCACTCTCAACTGCAAAGCACTCGGAGTACGTGAGACCCTGGCTTTAAGTCCCGTCCCGCCCCCAAATCTCGTCAGGTGCGAGCGCTCCCAGCCACCCAATGTCGCGCCGCGCACTTCACATCGCCTCATTCCTTTCCCATCTCTCATCTTTCACTCTCAGAGGTTCATACGAGCAGTAACAGTAAAACACGGGCGAATCCGCAACCGTTTGCGCGTGCTCGCGGAAGCGATCTGCCCGCGGGCAAAAAAAAACTAAACCCCATCGCGACCGGCATGCGGCTCGGGAGCCTCAACCCTAAAATTTTAGGGTTGAGGCTCCCGAACGGCATGCGGGTCGCGATGGGGTTTAGTTTTTTTTGCCCCGGGCAGAGAGCTTGCGCCGGCTCCGCGTCCTGGTGGAAACTCGTTTCCACCAGGGGGGCACCTGGTGGAAATGCGCCCACCAGGGCTCGTAGGAACTCTAAATTTTACCACCCTCTCCAACCACTTGAGACCGTACCGAAATCTTTAAACTCCTCCAAACTCCTACCATCCCACTGATCACCTTTCTTTTAGAACCTGTGACTTCTTGCGGGAGCTTCTTTAGGAAGAGCCCCTTTCTTATAGCAGCAGTGAAGTCCAGCGAGATGCTGTCTCAATAAACCACGCATACCGTATCTGCTCTGCTCGAGAAGAAACAAATTTGGAAGTAACGTCAGGTGGCGTATAGTGCTGTGTTGTGTACAGTGCGTAGAGCTTTAGCTCTGTCCTGACTCTAGATTCTGGATTTTTATGGGTTGCTCTGCATGAGTTCAAGCAGAGCGAGACGGAGATAACCTGACCTATGGCGTCGCGTCGATGGGGCACAGCTGGTGGCAGCATGGAGTATGGTTCGCGTCGCACGTGTAGTCGACCCGTGTAATCCTGACGTCGCTTGCTGCAGGGCACAGAGAAAATTAGAAACCCTCGATTCGATTGTAGTGTACGCCACTCCGACCCTAATTTCACCAGCTTCCTCCTCTTTTGAATAAAGACGAGCTGTTTGTTGACGTCACGAGTAGTCTGAAATTATCAACCAATAATGTCTCACGAGTACGACGCGGCGGAGAGTCACTGTAGTGGGTTGATGGGAAACGGAACTGAATGCACCTGCGGCAACGGAATAAACGCCAAGGTGGGGCTCCGCGACAGAATTCTGTTTCAGTTCCATCTCAAGCACGCGATTGGTCCATTAATTACGACTTTCTTCTAGCCGTGACGCAAAGGTCAGGCGTTGCGTTGCATCTTACGTCTCCGTAAAACAGAAATGCCAGTAACGGCGGCGCGGCTCGGCTTCCCCAGCACCACTGTACTCGCCATAGTCGTGCTATAATATTATAATAATATTATAGTAATGGCCATTGTACCCGTGACCACATCAGATCTCCTCCTTTCGTGCGTTGTCCCGTTCGATGCAAGCTCGAGGAACTTCCTCGAGCTTAGGGTTGAGCCCTCGCAACTCGCGGCGTCGTCATGCCGGTTTCCTAGGAGTGCCCGAAATAACGGACCGGATTCTGTCAGTTCGTGCGTTGTCTGATGCGATATTCCGCTTCTTGCAACCCGCATGGTTACCAGATGCAGACCTGTGGCCTAGCGGTCCCTTCGCGTTGCGGCCTGTTTACTCGGGTACTAGGTAATGTCGTTGCCCGTGCAGTGGCATAGTACTGATTACAACACAGTCGGGAGCAGCATTCACACGTACAACTCGTACAAGGTCCAACGACCGCTAGCAAAAACGGAAGTGGTGACAAAGCTCGCTTCCAGCTTCCATCAAATGCGGAGCTCGCTACTCCGACTGCCGTGATCCTTCCCCGAAGTGCAGCCACCGAACCGGACCGCTTGATACCTTGAAGTGGTTGGTTACACCCGCACGCCTAACATAAGTGAAACTCGAGTCAACGGCGCCCATACTTTATTCTCTCACTCGTTCATCAGGCCACGCCCTACTTTTCGTGGTGGTGGCTTTCCCAGTAAGTGTTCGTGACGCCGAGAAGCAAAGAGACCGAGAAGCCGAGAAGCCGAGAAGCTGAGAGACCGAGAAGCCGAGAAGCTGAGAAGCCGAGAAGCCGAGAAGCTGAGAAGCTGAGAGACCGAGAAGCCGAGAAGCTGAGAAGCTGAGAGACCGAGAAGCCGAGAAGCTGAGAAGCTGATCACCTGAGAAGCTGAGAAGCTGATCACCTGAGAAGCTGAGAAGCTGATCACCTGAGAAGCTGAGAAGCTGATCACCTGAGAAGCTGAGAAGCTGATCACCTGAGAAGCTGAGAAGCTGATCACCTGAGAAGCTGAGAAGCTGATCACCTGAGAAGCTGAGAAGCTGATCACCTGAGAAGCTGAGAAGCTGAGAAGCTGATCACCTGAGAAGCTGAGAAGCTGAGAAGCTGATCACCTGAGAAGCTGAGAAGCTGAGAAGCTGATCACCTGAGAAGCTGTGTCAGGGCCAAGCGATCAACTTCACTGCTGTGAAGTATGACGGCTGGAGCAAGGACGCGGATCTTCGGGCGGGCCTGGACCCCTGAGGTAAAGTATTTCCTTAGTTTTTGTTTTTGTTTTTTTTCTTCCCCCGACCCAGGTGGACCGCAAGCTGCTTCAGCACATGGCAGTGCATGTTTGCATTCATATCCAACATTTCTCCTTATCTCCCTACATTCCTTCCCCCCCCCCCCCTCCCTTTCCTCGCCTATTTTCAATCTCAGGAGGACCGCAAGCTGCTGCTGCACGTGGCAGCGTTCATTGCATTCCAATCAAGTATTGGTTTCTTTCTATTTTTCTCCTTTTCTCAATCCCAGGAGGACCGCAAGCTGCTGCTGCACGTAGCAGCGCACGGCACGAGGCAGTGGAGGGCCGTTGTCAATGCAGGGCTGCTGCCAGGCCGCGACAGCAAGGCGTGCTGCAACCGATTCATTGTGCTCAAGAGGTGAGTCATCGTGCTCAAGAGGTGAGTCATCGTGCTCAAGAGGTGAGTCATCGTGCTCAAGAGGTGAGTCATCGTGCTCAAGAGGTGATTCTTGCAACCGTTTTATCTCACGCTCAAGAGGTTTCAGCCTTCAAAGAATCTGACAACATTTTCTTTCTTCTTCTTCTTCTTCTTCACAATTTTCATTCCTTAGATGACTGGCTCACTCAAACAACCATTTATTCCCATCTCTTCCATCTTTCTTGCTGCAGAAAGTATTTCAGTTTCCGGGATAGACTTCAGGGTCAATTCCATCCATTACTGGGATTTTCTGAGAACCTTTTCCCGTCACAAATGACAGCCGAATGTGGGTCTGACAACGGAAGTGTAGAAGCTGCTTTAGCTGATTTGGCTAACAATATCGGCACCGCTGCTTGTGCTGCACCTGAGTCTGATAATGGCATCATTTTCTCTGAGTATGCTGCACCAGAGCCTGTTATCGAGGCTGTTTCTGCTGCTAGTGAATCTGCTGTTACTGAGTATGGTTCCCCGGGGGTGAGCACTGGATCTTACGCCACTGCGACTCAAGCTGCTGCTGCGGACACAAATGCGATTGCTGCTGACAGTGGTAATTCCACTTCTGCTGCTGCTGCTGCTGCTGCTGCTGCTGCTGCTGCTGCTGCTGGTAGTGAACCTGCTGTTGCTGAGTATGGTTCCCCGGGGGTGAGCACTGGATCTAACGCCACTGCGACTCAAGCTGCTGCTGTGGACACAAATGAGAGTGCTGCTGATGGTGGTAATTTCACTTCTGCTGCTGCTGCCGCTGCTGCGGCAGCTTGTGTGGCAAAAGAAGCAGGCGTGATAAACCTTCTTCGAGTCCCACCACACGAGCCTGCGCATGAATGGACTGGTGTGCAGTTAAGAAGGACGCCTGTGTGCCGCACTGCTCAGGCTGCTGTTTCTGCAGCTGCTCCTGCTCCTGTTGCTTCTGCTGCTGCTGCTGCCACAATTGCAGTTTTTCCGGGAAGGGAGGCAGCAAGGGAAACAGGAGCCTTGATTGTCCCTCCCCTTCCCACACTGCATGAGACAGAGCACTGGAGGTTCGATACCGAGGATACCAATCAGGCTTCCCAAGAAATGGTACCAGATTTACAACACAGGCGGTTTGAAGAGAGCGATGCTGGAAGGTTCCTGGAAGCTGCTCTGCTGGACCTGATAAGCAGAACGGCGGAATCTCCAGCTTGTCTTCAAACGAACTCCCTTCCATTGTCTCCTTGGATGTCTGTCGAGCAGGCCAAGGAGATGTGTGAAGGAAGAAGCAGCAGTAGCTTCGACTCCGGAGCCCATGAGCTGGCACTTGAAGAATGCAGTAGACGACAAGGCCTGCAGAATCCATTATCTGAGGGGCAGGGGCCAAATTCAGCGTTGGAGTTTCCAGGAACCTTCCCGGTACTGGATGATAGTGAAACGGTGGAAGAGTTGCTGGATTCTCTCGACTACCGGGCACCAAGAGGGTGCTATGCAGATGCACCCAGCCAGCCTAGGCAACCGTGGGTGAATGGAGGGTTCAACGGATTCTCTGCAGCCCTGCAGCAGGCTCCAAGTCGGTCTGGTTCAAATGGTGCAAGTGTTGAGGGATTGCTGGAGAGGCTTTGCTCCCAGGTTGGGCCTGGATCCGACCGTCCGTGCGGAATGCGGCCAGACTCGATGTTTGAGGCCATGGCTAGTGGGAGCTGGTCCTTCGAGTAAAGATAGCCCTTCGTAACGGTTGTGTTTTGTTTGGTTTTGTATCGTTGCGATGCGAATTTTTCTTGTGTTTGTCTAGTAAAGTTGATCAATTGGTGTGTAGGAGGATTTGAAATAAGATTTGTTGCAACAACCAAAATTGACCCCCAGTTTCGATTCGGGTCGTGTTTTCCAAATGTTCTTACGCATTATTACAAAGGAAGTAATTGTAAACAATATTCCCTCATCACAACCACTTCCACGCACTACAGTAGCAGCGAGGATAACAACAGCGTGTTCTTATCGGGCCTATGGGAATGATCACGATCACTGCAAGGTACGTTCCTGCAACGCGGTTGAGTACGTTTACCTACGTTGCGATACGGTTCAAGCTACAGAGACAAGGTTGCATTTCGGTGGCGACTCATATTGGGCCTTTGGATCCTCGATATTGGATATGTGTGTTTGTGATCTCTAGGATCTCTGTGCTGCAGTGTAATCTCCCGTCCTAGACTGGCATCCACCTGACAGATCGACCAGACTGTTGGGCATTCCAGCAACCACTGAGAGTAGCACCGCCGCCAATCGCTCTCTTCCCACCCCTCCGCAGGCAAGACTTCCCCTTCCGCGTGTGACCTGTTCGCTTCCCCCACCCGCCGCTCCGCCAGTCCTCCGCTCCGCCGCGCATGGCGACAGGAGGCGGCTTGTTCGGGTCCACAGCGGGATCGTCGCTGTTCGGCCAGCAGCAGACCACCCTCGCGGCGCCTTCGCTGTTCGGTCAGCAAACCCCTGCCACGCCTTCGCCGTTCGGCCAGCAAACTCAAGCCGCCGCGGCGCCGTCCCTTTTCGGCCAGACGACCCCCGCAGCGCCCTCGCCGTTCGGCCAATCAGCTCCAGCATTCGGCGCTGCGTCCACGCCCGCGTTTGGCGCCGCTTCTAGCTCCGCCTTTGGTGCTACGCCTACCTCCGCATTCGGCGCTGCTTCCACTCCCGCTTTCGGAGCTGCCGCCACCCCCGCGTTTGGCGCTGCGTCGACGCCCGCTTTCGGCACATCTACCTCCGCATTCGGCGCATCTACCTCCGCATTCGGCGCTACAACTACCTCCGCATTCGGCGCTACCCCTACCTCCGCATTCGGCGCTACCCCTACGTCCGCATTTGGCGCCGGTTCCGCGACGCCTGGCTTCGGCGGTCAACTAACCCTATCCCAACCGCAGCAGCAGCAGCAGGGGGCGCTGCAACAGGCGCAATTCGCGGCGCAATCCGCGCAGTGGTCCGCGGCGCTTCCGGAAAGGGAGGTGGCCGCGATCGCCGCCGCGTATTTCGGCGACGCGCGGAACCCGCTAGGGCGGTTCGTGAGCCCGTTCCTAAGCGTCACGCACCCCCTCGCGCGCTTCCGCCCGCCGAACGTCCCCGAGCTGACGTGGCAGGAGGCGATTGGCCTGCTGGCGGCGGCTGGCCCGGAAAACCAGGCGGATGGGCTGTGGCCGGAGATGGTTTGCGGATTCTCGGGATTGTCGAAGAGATTGCAAGTGCAGGTAGGAGGAGGGAGGGAGGTAGTGGGGGGAAGGGGTTGGAGGAGAGAGGGGAAGGCGAGGGAGGGCGGGCGGAGGAGGTACGCGGTAAGAGGAGGTACGCGGTAAGAGGAGGTACGCGGTAAGAGGAGGTACGCGGTAAGAGGAGGTACGCGGTAAGAGGAGGTACGCGGTAAGAGGAGGTAGGTAAGAGGAGGTACGCGGTAAGAGGAGGTACGCGGTAAGAGGAGGTACGCGGTAAGAGGAGGTACGCGGTAAGAGGAGGTACGCGGTAAGAGGAGGTACGCGGTAAGAGGAGGTACGCGGTAAGAGGAGGTACGCGGTAAGAGGAGGTACGCGGTAAGAGGAGGTACGCGGTAAGAGGAGGTACGCGGTAAGAGGAGGTACGCGGTAAGAGGAGGTACGCGGTAAGAGGAGGTACGCGGTAAGAGGAGGTAGGCGGTAAGAGAAGGTACGCGGTAAGAGAAGGTACGCGGTAAGAGAAGGTAGGCGGTAAGAGAAGGTAGGCGGTAAGAGAAGGTACGCGGTAAGAGAAGGTACGCGGTAAGAGAAGGTACGCGGTAAGAGAAGGTACGCGGTAAGAGAAGGTACGCGGTAAGAGGAGGTACGCGGTAACAGAAGGTAGGCGGTAAGAGAAGGTACGCGGTAAGAGAAGGTAGGCGGTAAGAGAAGGTACGCGGTAAGAGAAGGTACGCGGTAAGAGAAGGTACGCGGTAAGAGGAGGTAGGCGGCAAGTGCAGGTAGGATAGTAGGGCGGGAATGTTGAGTGGAATGCGAGGGAGGGAGGAGGACCTAGGAGGTAGGAGGTGGGGAAATCCGTATGTGCAGGCGGAGCGGATGGGCTGTGGCCGGAGATGGTTTGCGGATTCTCGGGATTGTCGAAGAGGCTTCAGTTGCAGGTAGGAGGAGAGAGAGAGTGTAGATTCATTGGAAGGTGGGGGTGGGGAGGGAGGAGGAGGTAGGAGGTAAGAGAAGGTACGCGGTAAGAGAAGGTACGCGGTAAGAGAAGGTACGCGGTAAGAGGAGGTAGGCGGCAAGTGCAGGTAGGATAGTAGGGCGGGAATGTTGAGTGGAATGCGAGGGAGGGAGGAGGACCTAGGAGGTAGGAGGTGGGGAAATCCGTATGTGCAGGCGGAGCGGATGGGCTGTGGCCGGAGATGGTTTGCGGATTCTCGGGATTGTCGAAGAGGCTTCAGTTGCAGGTAGGAGGAGAGAGAGAGTGTAGATTCATTGGAAGGTGGGGGTGGGGAGGGAGGAGGAGGTAGGAGGGAGGAGGTAGGAGGAGGAGGTAGGAGGAGGAGGTAGGAGGAGGAGGAGGGAGGAGGGAGGAGGGAGGAGGGAGGAGGGAGGAGGGAGGAGGGAGGAGGTAGGAGGGAGTGGGTGAGCGTGGGAAATACTTATGTGCAGGCGGACAGGCTGTGGCCGGAGATGGTGTGTGGATTCTCGGGATTGTCCAAGAGACTGTAAGAGCAGGTAGGAGGGTAGTGGGGGAATGTTGAGTGGAAGGGGAGGGAGGCGGGAGGTGGGAGGTGGGATGAGGTAGGAGGGAGGTGGGATGAGGTAGGAGGTAGGAGGTGGGGAAACTCGTATGGGCAGGCGGATAGGCTGTGGTCTGAAAATGGTGTGCGGATTCTGGGGACTTTCGAAGGGATTGCAAGTGCAGGTAGGGAAAAGAGAGGGGGAGGAGAGTGTGGACAGGCGGACAGAGGCAGCAGCAACCTCTCATGGCAGAGGGCCGCGCAGCAGCGGCAGCAGCAGCCGCCAAGGCATTGTCCCCCTTGTTTCCCCGCACCCACCCCCCCACACTAGCAGGATGAGATGATAGAGGCGGATAGGCAGAGGTTGGATGCGGTGGAAGCGGCGGTGGGGCAGGTGAGGGCGCACGTGACAGCAGTGACAGAGGGACGGCAGGGGGGCGTTGAGGCAGAGACAGCAGCAGCTGCAGCAGCTTCTAAGGCATCGTTTCCCTTGCTTCCCCGCATTCCCCCCCACACACTATCAGGATGAAAGGGCGCACGTGACAGCAATAGCTGCTAAAGGCGTCGCCTCCCACTCTGCTCTCCCCCTCCCCCTTCAGGACGAGACGATAGAGGCGGATAGGCAGAGGTTGGATGCGGTGGAAGCGGCAGTGGGGCAGGTGAGGGCGCACGTGGTAGCAGTGACAGAGGGACGGCAGGGGGCGGTGAGGCAGAGACAGCAGCAGCTGCAGCAGCGGGTGCTGCGACTGATGCGACTTGTCGAGGTAAGTTTGTGTTTGGTGGGGTATGAGGGGATTATGGGGGAGTTATGTGGGGTGTATGTGTGTGACGGAGGGGGGGCATAGCAACCAAACGGAGGCAGCAGCAGCTGCAGCAGCGGGTGCTGCGATTGATGCGACTGGTGGAGGTGCGTTTGAGGGGGGGAAATGGGAAGAAGATCATGGGGAGGTGTGTGTGCGTAACATGGGAGGGGGGAAGGGATAGCGATCAAACAGAGGCAGCAGCAGCTGCAGCAGCGGGTGCTGCGACTGATGCGACTGCTGGAGGTGCGTTAGGGGGTTGTAGGGGCTGTATGGGTTTCTGGGGGTTATGGGAAGGTTATGGAGGGGTGTATGGGCGTAATGTGAAAGAGGGGAGTCCGGTTGGAACCTACAAGTGCAGGTAGATCAAATGATCCAACCCGCAGATGCACATATGTATGGAGTGCAGCACATATCCCTACGTCCCTATGTCCTTCCCCTTTCTCCCTCTCACATCTCCTTCCCTCTATTCTGTCCCTCCCTCTCGCCCCTCCCTCCTGTCAGATCATGGAGCTAAGGACATCTCCCCACGTCCCTCTCTCACCAACAGAGCTGCTTCTATCAGACAGGCTTCAGGTGAGTTCCCAGACAGGCTTCAGGTTGTCCAGATGGGCTTCAGGTGAGTTCCCAGACAGGCTTCAGGTTGTCCAGATGGGCTTCAGGTGAGTTCCCAGACAGGCTTCAGGTTGTCCAGATGGGTTTCAGGTGAGTTCCCAGACAGGCTTCAGGTTGTCCAGATGGGCTTCAGGTGGGTGGCAGAGCACGCCTCCCTGTATGTGCTTCTGTGCTGCTCTCTTCCAACACCACCTCACCTCATGTGTATCCGCTCCGGTCAGTCTCCTCCTGCGCCGCTCTTCCCCATCCCCCTCCCCACTCTCCTCTCCACCCCTTCCCCAGGCCCTCCACCGTCAGGTGTGCAGTGGCCCGTGGGGCATCAGAGCTCCCTGGGAAGGCCGAATCCCTCGCTGCAGCAGCGCTCGTCTGGTTGTGCCCACTCCCCCTCTTTTGTTCAGCTCGTGCCTAATTCCCTTTCCCCCGTTCCCCCTCATACAGTCCCTCCTGCGTCTGCTGTGCAGTGGGGCATCACAAGTCCTCCGGAAGGTCGAATCCCTCGCTGCAGCAGTCAGCGTGTAGAACCTTCCTCGAACCTTCCTCTAACCTTCCTTTCCCTTTCCCCCCCTCCCTCTTTTCGCTTCCCCCAGTCCCTCCTCCGTCTGCTGTGCAGCGGGGCATCAGAGCTGCCCAGAAAGGTCGAGTCACTCGCTGCAGCGCCCATGGCCCTCTTGTGCGCACACCCAATCCCTCACCCTTCCCGTCCTCCCCCTCCCCTTCTCGTTTCCCCAATTCCAGTCCCTCCTCCGTCTGCTGTGCAGCGGAGCATCAGAACTTCCCAGAAAGGTCGAATCCCTCGCTGCAGCAGCCAGCCTGCTGGCCGATGGGGGGGGAGAGGGCGGGGGCGCGGACACAGGCGCAGGGGGAGCGGCAGGGGGAGCAGGGGGGGCGGGGGAGGGTGGGGGAGTGAGGGTGGAGGAGTGGAGTTTGGAGAGAATGAGGGGGGTGGTGGCGACACAGGCCGAGGCGGTGGGGCGGCTGGCGCAGCTGGTGGAGAGAGATGTGAGGGACGTGGGGATTATGATGGGGGAAGGGGTGATTGACCCCCTAGGGGGAGTGGCGGGGGCATAGGGCAAACCCGTTTGGAACGGACAACAAGGGCGTAGCAGCAGCAGCAGCAACACAGGCAGAGGCCGAGGCGGTGGGGCGGCTGGCGCAGCTGGTGGAGAGAGATGTGAGGGACGTGGGGATCATGATGGTTGGACCAGTGGACCATTTGAGGGGAGTGGCGGGGCAGAGAAAACACAGGGCCCGTGTGGATTGAAACGCGTGGCAAGGCTGGGCGCAGGTGGTAAAGAGAGACGTGAGGGACGTGGGGATTATGATGTGGGGTGGTGGAGTGGATCCTCTAGGCAGAGTGGCGGGGCCAGCTTTTGAGTCGACTCAAAGGGCAGGGAGACAGAGCATGGGAGGGGCGGAATGCAGTGCAAATGGGGTTGTGATTTCAGCACGGGCACAGGTTTGAGATGGCTACTAAAGGTTGAGGGGGTCGGTGGTGGTGACACAGGCAAGGCGGTGAGGGGAGCGCGGTACTTGTTAGTAGCTTGGGAGGGGTGGCAGGTGCAGTGCTGTAGAGAAAGAGAACGGTACCGGTATGTTTTCTGTGATGTAGAGGATTGGTGGGAGTTTGTGGTGAAAATTGTCTGTTCGGTAGTGAGTATCATCAAAGAAGATGGCTGTGTGATTATGATATGATAGAGGTCTAAGTTTTTTAAGGCCAAATTTGTTGCTGTATGCATTCTTCATTTGCTAGGGGTATGTTGAGTTAATTTCGTTTCTGTACTGCAATCCAGAGTGCGTTTAGCGAGTGCTGACCGTAGAATCAATTTACCGAGTGCGCTTTTACCAAGGCCGTGCCGTGCAGCACCGTACCGCATCATGCAGCACCGAAAGGCACCGTACGAGACAACTCAGGAATTTGGCGGAGCAAAAAATTGCCTCCATTCCTCCGCTCTGTTCTGGTTTTACTGTATCCACATCTGCCTCAGCTGCAAGGCTCGAAGCGCTCCCATGGCGTTCCGTAGCTCACGCCGCCTTGTGCGGGCCGCCATTTCCGCGCGTATTACTATCCCGGAGACGGCTCTTCGATCACACGCCATTGCCACAGCAACCTTCGATCTACCAGGCTGTGATCGAACCGTAGATTCTCCATTTCCATCTTCTCCACCGTCCGATGCCGACACGCGCGTGTCGCGAGCGTGTCGCCTTCTCGATGACAGCGCGAATACCAGCGCGCCGAGCCGTCCACGTGGCATTGCATCGCTAGCCGGACTACCCACTCCCTTGTTCCCCGGGCAAGCGCTCCGCGTTCCCCCCGCCAACGCCGCTCCGCTCATTGTTCCGCGCGCCCGTGCCATTCCGCCGTCCCTTCCGCCGGCTGCAGTTTCGGTGATCCCAAGGCGGTGCCTCGCGCACTCGCACCGGCGAACGGGTGCGTTTGATAGTTGAGTGTGTGCGTGATACTAGAGCTTCGTGCGTGGTTTCCCCGGAGGACAGAATAGCGAATCTCCCCGACGTTGCAGGGAGTTTTTGAGAATTCTCAAAAGCTCCCTGCAACGACAGAATAGCGAATCTCCCCCCGGAGGGCGTGATACTTTCTCCCTCATATTTATCCGGCCCTCCTCCCCCTCCGCGCTCCTCACCCACTCTTTCCTCCCACATTCTCCCCCCACTTACTCCCCGTGCAACCCCCCATGCCTGATAGACAAGCTACACAAGCAGCACAAGAAGCACGGCAAGCATGCGGAGAGGGAACAGGGGGAAGAGGAAGACGAAGACGAAGAGGAGGAGGACGAGGAGGAGGAGGAGACAGGAAGAGGGTCGAAATCAGGGGCCAAGAAGAAAGGAAAGGACAAGAAGGGCGGGGGGGGGAAGAAGGGCCGGGGAGGGGGAGGAGGGGGAGGCGAAGAGGAAGGAGGAGGAGAGGAGGCAGTGCAAGGGGCGGTAGATCTGGTGAAGGTGCATGTGGAGGAGGCGAAGGAGGCTCTTATCAAGGAGCTTGCCAAGATACGGACAGGCCGCGCCTCCCCTGGTGAGATTGGGTTGGGATGACATTCAGTCGAATTTGATGGCACCTTGGAAGGTGTTTCTGCAAAGTCTCAAATTCCAAGGCCTGCTAAATTCTTGGGTGGGAGGCCTACGGCTGCTCCTCTTTATTTATTCCCATCTCAACCCTTTCTCCTCTTCCTCGTTACCTTGCTCCCCTCTCACTGTTCTCAAGCCTCATTCCCACGCCTTGAGTCGTGTTTTGAGTCGACTCAAAACACCTTGCTCCCCTCCCACTGTTCTCATCTCAAGCCTCATTCCCATGCCTTGTTCACACGCTATGTTCGCACCCTTGTGACTCCCACCCCTCGTTACTGTCACACGTTTACAGGCTTGCTGGACCACATGCATGTGGAGGCATAATGCCGCCCCTCTTCTTTACTCTCATTTCCCTCTCACCCCTATTTACTCCCACCCCTCGTTACTGTCATCATAGGCCTCCTTGACCACGTGCACGTGGAGGCATATGGGCGCCCCTCGCCATTGTCACGCATCGCCACAGTCACAGTCAAGGACCCTCAACTTCTCTCTGTCACACTCCACGACGCGTCAGTGAGTATATCTGGTCTAGATCAGGGTTTAGGTTTACAGGTTTAGGGGTAGGTTTTCGGGTTTAAGGTGTAAAGAGGATACCCTGTGTGAGTGGCTTTTGAGTCGACTCAAAAGTCATAAGGTGTAAAGAGCATACCCTGTGTGAGCTGTCAAGTCAAAGACACTCAGCTTCTCCCCCTCATCTCATCGCACGGTCACAGTCAAGGCCCCCATCTCGTTTCTGAGAAATTTATAAAAAGGCCAAACCTTATCTAACGGCTACAGTCGAGGTCATCAATGTGGATTTCACTTTTGAGAATTCTCAAAAATCACTCACAAGAATTCTAAAAAATCACTCATTAGAATTCTCAAAAATCACTCACAAGAATTCTCAAAAGTAAAATCCACATTGATCCTCCTCCGAGCCTTATCTCTCACGGCCACAGTCGAGGTCATCCATCCATCCATCCATCCATCCATCCATCCATCCATCCATCCATCCATCCATCCATCCATCCATCCATCCATCCATCCATCCATCCATCCATCCATCCATCCATCCATCCATCCATCCATCCATCCATCCATCCATCCATCCATCCATCCATCCATCCATCCATCTATCCATGAATATGAAGAAAGTATCTCTTTCATGGTGCTTCCATCCACGGTGCTTGTCGTTCTCTCTTCTGCGCCTCAGGCTAGGACAGATACTTATGCTGTTCAGGAGCGAACCCTTCAGTTCCTCTCCTCTCCTCCCCCTCTTTCACGCCCCTGTCTCTTCAATCCTCTAGCTGCTGGGAGCAGCAATGAAGGGTCTGCAAGAGTCGCCCATGGGTCTGAACCCCTCTCACACCTCGCACACTGTCATCCTCGTGCCCATCCCCAAGTGAGTGCGTGCTTCCCTTACCTCCATGTGTTGACATGTTTCCCTTGTGCTACCCATGGGTCTGAACCCCTCTCACACCTCCCACACTGCCATCCACGTGCCCCATGCCCAAATGAGCACGTGCCCCCAGGTGAGTGCTTCGCTTCCCTCCACGTGCTCATATGGTTGGTTCCCTTGTATCGCCCATGGGACTGAACCCCTCTCACACCTCCCATACAGTCATCCTTGTGCCCATTCCCAAGTGAGTGCTTCACTTCCCTCTCACGCCTCCCACTCATGCTTCCTTACATTCGCCCATGGGGTTGAACCCCTTTTACACCTCGCACACGGCCATTCTCGCACACGGCCATTCTCACACACGGCCATTCTCGCACACGGCCATTCTCGTGCCCATTCTCAGGTAAGCACGCCTCTCCACTTTATTGTGCATTCGAGGTGACTTTCGATTTTCGAGTCGATTCCGCTTTATTGTGCATTTCAAGGTGACTTTTGAGTCGACTCAAAAGTTGCTTGTGAGATTTCTTAGAAGCCAGCCAGTAGTCGTCTCTCCCTTTCCAGGTAAGCACGCCTCTCCAGTTTATTGTGCATTCCATAACCTGTGGTTACTGGGGTGGCTCTAATTATGCGTTCTAATTATGCTGCCTCAACACTTATTTTTGTTCCATTATGTTGTTTTTATGTAGGGGAATTAGATTCGGTATGATCATTCCTTTTCTTTTTTAAATTTATTATTGCATTTTTCTGTTGCATTTTCAACTTACAAATTTTAATCATCTGTCTGACCTTTCAACTTCTCTTTTTGCTTCTCCTCCCTTTTTCTTCCTTGTTTCCCCCTTCCTCCTCGCATGCTCATTCGACTTCCCCCACCTTCAAGGTTGACCAAGGAAGTGAGAGAGGTGAGTGGAGGGGAGTGAGGGAGGTGAGTGGAGGGGAGTGAGGGAGGTGAGAGGAGGGGAGTGAGGAGGTATGAGGTGAGGAGGTGGGTGAGAGTTATGTCCTTGACTCCTTATCCCTCTGTCCTCTTGATCTTCAACTTCCATCCTCTCCTCCTTTTTCCTCTCCATGCCCACGTCTGCAAGAGTGATTTTATGGTGTCTACATTTTTCTCTCCATCCCCCTCCCCGTCGCCCTCCCCTCTCCCCCTCCCCTTCCCCATGCCATGTTCAAACTAGCGCAAAAGGCCGCTGAGTGTGCGAGAGTGAGCTTGACACGTCTCAGATGTTACTATCTATCCCCGCGCTGCCCATCCCCGTCCACCTATCCATCCCCTCTCTCTTTCTCTCTTCCCCAGGCAATGTTCAAGCTCGCTCAGAAAGCGGCAGAGTCTGCGAGAGTGAGCTTGCGGCGGGCAAGGAAGGAGGTGAGTGAGGGTCGCTGAGTGTGCTGCTGATTGTGCTGCTGATTGTGCTGCTGATTGTGCTGCTGATTGTGCTGCTGATTGTGCTGCTGATTGTGCTGCTGATTGTGCTGCTGATTGTGCTGCTGATTGTGCTGCTGATTGTGCTGCTGATTGTGCTGCTGATTGTGCTGCTGATTGTGCTGCTGATTGTGCTGCTGATTGTGCTGCTGATTGTGCTGCTGATTGTGCTGCTGATTGTGCTGCTGATTGTGCTGCTGATTGTGCTGCTGATTGTGCTGCTGATTGTGCTGCTGATTGTGCTGCTGATTGTGCTGCTGATTGTGCTGCTGATTGTGCTGCTGATTGTGCTGCTGATTGTGCTGCTGATTGTGCTGCTGATTGTGCTGCTGATTGTGCTGCTGATTGTGCTGCTGATTGTGCTGCTGATTGTGCTGCTGATTGTGCTGCTGATTGTGCTGCTGATTGTGCTGCTGATTGTGCTGCTGATTGTGCTGCTGATTGTGCTGCTGATTGTGCTGCTGATTGTGCTGCTGATTGTGCTGCTGATTGTGCTGCTGATTGTGCTGCTGATTGTGCTGCTGATTGTGCTGCTGATTGTGCTGCTGATTGTGCTGCTGATTGTGCTGCTGATTGTGCTGCTGATTGTGCTGCTGATTGTGCTGCTGATTGTGCTGCTGATTGTGCTGCTGATTGTGCTGCTGATTGTGCTGCTGATTGTGCTGCTGATTGTGCTGCTGATTGTGCTGCTGATTGTGCTGCTGATTGTGCTGCTGATTGTGCTGCTGATTGTGCTGCTGATTGTGCTGCTGATTGTGCTGCTGATTGTGCTGCTGATTGTGCTGCTGATTGTGCTGCTGATTGTGCTGCTGATTGTGCTGCTGATTGTGCTGCTGATTGTGCTGCTGATTGTGCTGCTGATTGTGCTGCTGATTGTGCTGCTGATTGTGCTGCTGATTGTGCTGCTGATTGTGCTGCTGATTGTGCTGCTGATTGTGCTGCTGATTGTGCTGCTGATTGTGCTGCTGATTGTGCTGCTGATTGTGCTGCTGATTGTGCTGCTGATTGTGCTGCTGATTGTGCTGCTGATTGTGCTGCTGATTGTGCTGCTGATTGTGCTGCTGATTGTGCTGCTGATTGTGCTGCTGATTGTGCTGCTGATTGTGCTGCTGAGTGTGCTGCTGAGTGGTTAGGTTGCTTGGTGGGTGGGCAGGGAGTCGGCGGGAGTGAGCTTGAGGCGAGAGAGGAAGGCGGTGAGTGGGGGACGCTTGTTGTGGTTCTGATCTGAGTTTGTTCCTGATGCATGGACTGTCCATGAATGCATTGTTGCGTGGTGCGGTGCTTGCTGCATTGTGTAGTGTGTTGATGCGTGCATTTTCCATGGGCCCATGGGCACATGGGCACATGGGCACATTTGCTGCATTTATGTATCTCGTATCATTGGTAAAAGATGCACTAAGCCTTTCACATCTATAACTGCTTTAATCAGTAAGCATCCGGTTATCAAGCTCAAAGCAATCGAGTTACCATCCCAATCTGCTGGTAAGTTGACATCCAAATGTTTGAGTTTCAAGTTTTGAGAATAAACATTTGAAAAACATAAGTCATTTAGGGTTTGAGTCTCAGCCAACACGTTAATCTTCCACTCGCTTCTTCTCCATTGCCCCCCCCCCCCCGCTGCATGCAATTAAACCCCACTTAGTGAGGTGACTTTTGAGTCGACTCAAAACACACCTGCAATTAAACCCCACTTACCCCACTTGCATGTGCATGTGCATGTGCATGTGCATGTGCATGTGCATGTGCATGTGCGTGTGCATGTGCATGTGCGTGTGCATGTGCATGTGCGTGTGCATGTGCGTGTGCATGTGCATGTGCGTGTGCATGTGCGTGTGCTTATAGGGGATGGACGCGATAAAGAAAGCAGCAGACGTGATTCCCGAGGACGAGCGCAAACGAGCAGAAAAGAAGGTACTGTTCGCTACCCCTCTCCATCGCCCTTCACCGCTCTGCACCACACTGTTACCGCACTGGACCAGCTTCACAAATGCAGAAGTGACGTAGGCACTGTCTTGTTCTGTTCTCTTTCCCACTAGCCGCAAGAGCTGCCATAGTGGAGTGACTTGCTTTTGATAACACCTCTGGAATGCACCAGTGAGTCTCAGCAGCCTTTGAAGTCGACTCAAAGACAATTGAGTCGACTGAAAAGTCACCTCTTGGAGTCGACTCAACACGACATTCGAGTCGACTGAAGATTCATCTTGTGCTGTGCGCATTCAATCAACCGCACGTGTTGCTGTCGTGGCTTGCTCCTGACATCGCAGGCTTTGTTTTTTAAGACGCGCTGTTGTGGCTTGCTCCTCATTCGTAACCCCTCTACAATGCCCCCATCTGTCACAGCAGCTGCTGCAGCAAAGGCAGAAGCATCTTGTTTGAGAGGCGATGCTTTGAAGCTGCCACTGGCCCCTGCATTCCTCCTCACCCCGCAAATATCCCCATCTCTGCTGTGCGTGCATGCGTGTGGCAGGTGGAGGAGGCAGTGGCAGCAGGGGAGTCTCAGCTCTGTTGAAATCACTTCTGAGAATTCTGCCCTCGCACTGACCCATGCATCCCTCACCACGCGATTCCCCCATCTCTGCTGTGCGTGCGTGTGGCAGGTGGAGGAGGCAGTGGCAGCGGCAAAGAAGCAGCCATGACCGTGATGCCTTGACTGTGACTGAACCATGCATCCCTCACCCCGCAATTCCCCGTGTCTCTGCGTGTGTGTGTGCATGCGTGTGTGGCAGGTGGAGGAGGCAGTGGCAGCGGCAAAGAAGCAGTTAGAAGCAATCTGTGAGACCAAGGAGAAAGAGCTGAAGGGGTAGCAGGGGTAGTGTACTGGGTGGTGATCTGTTGCATTTCTACACCCTGATAGGCCATGTTAGGATTACTCTTGCATTGAATGTGCAGTTTCTTACCATGCGGCAGGTGGTTTGTCTCACCAATACTGTACCGTACATACACGTAGAACTCAGAAAGCATCAAACGACTCGGATATTGCAGCAAGATTGAAGAGCAGATTTCCAAGCTGAAAAGCCTGACATGTATGCAAATATGTATGCAGGTATTGAATTCTCTGTTGGGCTGAAATAGCCCTTAGGATCTTTTGCAAGGGTAAACTCTGGGTAGAGATGATGTAATAGCGAAAGCGTTAAATAAAGAGATTTGAACCACCTTGCGCTGGTATGTGAGGGCAAAGTAAGTTGATTAAAACAAAGAGATACAAGCATTTATATAAGAGTACAAGGAATATGAAGAGATACAGTTATAACTACTTTACTGTTGCTGTTGCGGTTCGATACAGTGACGACTCGGGCAACTGCTCTGTAGCGAGTCAGTTGTGTGTCCTTGCTGTCGCGCTGTATTTGTCAGGTCAAAGGTCTCTGACCTTTGACTTTCGCGTAACCTCCAGCAACCTCTCAACCTCCGAGGGTTGACTCGCGGGTGCCTCGTTATGATTCGTTTCGCTTCTGGTGCGGTGTTTCGACACGACAGAGGCGCTTATGATTTGTTGTTTCCAACACTCCCCTTCGCTTCTGGAGTGTCGCTGCTGATGACGTGGCCCTGTCCAGTCAGCAGCATGCAGTACTCGAATTTCTGCTTTCCGAGCTTCTTGGTCAAGTAGTCAGCTGCCATCTCGGACGTGGGGCAGTATGACAGTTCGAGTCTCCCCTTCTCGATCTCGTCTTTCACGAAGAAGTAGCGCAGGGTGATGTGTTTCGTTCTGTTCGCGAAGCCGCTTTGTTGGCTATGCGAATTGCCGACTGGTTGTCGCAGAACAGGGTGAAGTTGGGTAACTCGGCTAACTTCGCTTCTTCCAGTAGCTCGCGAAGGTAAAGTCCTTCTTTGGTGGCTGAGCAGAGTGCGATATATTCTGCTTCAGCTGATGAGAGGGCGATTAGTTCCTGCTTACTCGACTGCCAGGAGATAGGACCGATAGGCTCGAAGCGGTAGATGTAGCCGGTGCGTGAGCGCCTGTTGTCGGAGTCGCCGGCGTGATCGGCGTCGACGTAGCCGATTAACTTAGGCGTTGTAGTTGCGTTCTTGTGGTATGTTAGGCCGATCGTCGGAGTGCTGACGAGGTAGTGGAGAGCGCGGTTGAGCTCTGCTAGATGTTCTGCTTCAGGCTTCTTCAGGTAGGTTGCGAGCTGGCTTGCGGAGTATGATAGATCCGGACGGCAGGTGACGGCTGCGAAGAGAAGGCAGCCCAGTTTCCTCTGATAGTCACGTATGCCGGCAGGTTTGAGTAAAGTAGAGCCTTCTTTTCCTGCCGTGTAACGGTATGGCGTGGAGATGGCGGTCGGTGTGAGAGCGAAGCGTTTGGCGATGTTGTCGGCGTATTTCGCGGCGCTGAGGTAGATTGCGTCTTCTTCTTCCCGAATGTTGAGGCCGAGGTACTGTGTGACGGTAGGTGAAAAAGTGAGGGTGAGATCAATCTGTAGCTCCCCTTCAAACCAGGTTGTGACACCGTCGGTCGAGCCGATGTAGAGGAGATCGTCTACGTAGACGATTAGCAAAATGTAGTCATCGCCTTTCGAGAGCCGGTACATTCCCTGATCGTGCGGTAGCTGGTTGAAGCCGATGCGAATGAGGCGAGCGTGCAGGTACTGCTGCCATAGCCGTGGGGCTTGCTTGATGTCGTAGAGCGATTTGAGCAGCTGACAGACGTGGTTAGGTTTTCCGTTGGTTCCGTGTGGTAACTCGACGAAGATTTCTGCATCGACAGGTGCGTAGAGGAAGGCGTTCGCGACGTCGATTTGCCGCAGCTTCCTTTTCTTCATGGCGGCGATCGCGAGCAGAATTCGAAGTGAGGTGTGTCGGCTGACCGGTGCGAAGGTCTCGGTGAAGTCCCGTCCTTGTTCTTGGTCGAAGCCGCGCACGACCCATCGTGCTTTGAACTTCTCGATGGTGCCGTCTGCTTTCGTCTTCACACGGAAGACCCATTTCCCGGTGAGAATGGTCTTATTCCGTGCTACGCCGATGGGAACGACTTTCCACGTGTTGCGCTCTTCTAATGCTTTCAGCTCCTTATCCATGGCTTCGCGCCATTTTTCCCTATGCTCCCCCCCCAGAGCCTGCTGAACTGTCGCATGCTCTTTAGGAATCGCCGCGCCGTGGACTGCGGTGACGAGTCCAAGTATCTGGAGTCCACTCTGTGTGTAGCGGGGGAGTGTGGTGTCCTCGGGATGAACTGCTTCGTCTCCCGCTTCAGGTGCTGGATTGAAATTTGGTCCTACGCGTTCTGCTTCGTTGGTGTTGACCCGTGCAGGTGTAACGTAACCGTTGTCGGCGAGGTCGTAGAAGACGTCGGCGTTGATGCTTTCGCGAGGATTTTCGTCATCCATTGGGACATCCACGGAGCAGTAAGGGAGAGGTCCGGCTTCCTCCGAGGCTCCCTCCACGTTCTGCTCGTCCCAGTCAGCTTCGTCTTCTGCCGAGGCGAAGGCTCGGTTTCCATGAAATCCGCCCGAGAGGTCAGGTCTGTTTTCTTCGACGTACATGAGGTGAGTTCCGAGGGTGAGGTTCTCGTAGAAGATGACATCACGTGCTGCTACTGTTTCCTTGCTGTTGATGTCGAAAATTTTCCATGCGTTGTAATGTTTTTCGATGCCCAGGTGTAGCCCCCACTGTGCGCGTTGAGAGAATCGTCCAGCTCGTGCAGATGGAGGTCGGTACTGTACCATGCAGCCGAAGACTCTCAACATTTTTGTGCTGCCCAATTTTCCTGTCCACAGCAGATGCGGTGATGCGTTGTTCGGGAGCGATGATGACGAAAGCAAGTTGTGCAGCATCACGGCGTGGTCCATTGCGTCGGGCCACTGGTGGTTGGGCAGGTGCATGCCACGTAGCAGCTTGCGCATGGTGGCTTGGAGTGTCCTGTTCATCCGTTCTGCTACACCTTGCTGTTGGTGGGCGTAGGGAAGAGAGATGAGTCGCTTGATCCCTCTTTCTGCCAAGTACTGCTTGAACCTCTGTGAGGTGTATTCTCCCCCCCCCCGTCTGACTGAAAACTCTTTAGCTTGACGCCCGATTCCCTTTCTGCTACGGGGAGCCACGCGACGAAGGCTTCAAAGGCCATGTCCCTGCTTGGATTGTTGAGGTGCCACACGTAGCGTGTCGCGGCGTCGATGAACGTGATGGTGTAGCTGTAGGCGTTTTGTCCGGGTTCACGGTTGTATAATATGTCGCTGTACACCTTTTCGAGAGGTGTGTACGCAGGTGCGCTTGGATTGTGATGTGAGACGAACGGCTGATGCGGTAAGTCAGGGCAGGTGAAGCACGTTCCACGGGCTCGCTGAAGTTCTCTGCCGTCGGTTAGTAGGAGTGAGTCTTTGTCGAGTACTCCTGCTCTTATCGTGTTGTTTAACACTGTGTTGCTTGGATGTCCCATTCTTGCGTGCCAGGTTCCTTCAGTGGCGCGATGTCCGGGTGATCGTCGATACAGATCGGAGTTGGAGTAGAAGCCGGCAGTGACGTTGGTGCTTCGGTGGACTTCACGTGGTGCCGGATTTAACTGCTGTGCGGGTGTCGGTGGTGAATCGTCGATGGAGATTGGTGCCGTTGAAGGACCAGCGATTGGTGTCGATGTTACTGCTGCTGTTGTTGTTGTCTCTGCTGCTGCCGATGTTGCTTCTGCTGCTGCTGCCGATGTTGCTTGAATTGTTGCTAACGCTCTTGTTCGTTCTGTCTCAGGTATCGTGTGAGAGTGCCAGAACCCACCAGGGCTGAAGTCTGGATCAAGATCTGGAGGGTGGGTCCAGGAGGTGAAGGTGACGATGCCGTCGCTGTCTGCTGTGCCGAGATCTGGAACAAAATCAAGAACGAAGACGTTGTTCTTGAGGATCGCCTTTCCGATGTAGAGGCCGCCCTTCCCGTGGTACAGCTTGAACTCCTGGGTGGTGCTGTTTGCTTCAAGGTGAATACCCTTCGCCATCAACTGACTGACGCTCAGTAAGTTGTAGCCGAGGCCTTCTGCAATTAAAACCTTGGACATCTGTAGAATGACGTTTGTCTCTCGTGACTGAAGGTGTACTACGCCTTGTCGTCGTGTGCGCAGATTTTGATTGTTGGCGACGGTGATGACTACTTCTCGTTGGAGTTGATACTCTCGCTGCACGAAGCGTCCTGAAGAGCACATGTGCTGTCCGCAGCAACTGTCCAAGAACCAGGTATCTTTCCCGGAGGGCTTGCTTTGAGCGATGGCTGCATACGTCGGGTTCGGTTGAAGTGACTCGCGGCGGGGCGTGCTGTTGTCGAGTTGTTCTTCCGGTGAGTAATGTGGCGGTGATTCAGTGACGCAGGAGTCGGTCAATCTTGCCATGCAACTGACGATGTTCCTTGCTCCTTGTGCAGGTTGTCCGGTTGGTGTTGTTGAGGCTTGGACTTGGGTCGTGGGATTCGCTTGCGTTGAGGCAACTTGGCTGCTTGAAGGTCGAAGTTGCCGCTGTGGTGGCGTTGACTGTTGCCAATTTGGGCAGTGCGTGCGCGGGTGCCCTGACGTCTTGCAGATGTGGCAGAACGGAGGTACGGGTTTTGGTTGTTGTCGGTTGTTGTAGTTGCTGTAGCGTCGCTGAGTGTAGAATGCGAACTCTGGTACTGATCCCCTTTTCTTGTGTCGTTCTTCTTGTAGGTCCATGTCTTGATGTTCGGCGTGGATTTCGGCACAGAGTGCTGCTTCGGAGATTTTTCCGTGAGCTCGAAGGATGGCTCGGGTGGAACGCCATTGAGGACCGAGGCCACCGATGACGACTGTTACGAAGGCTTCTTCGGCTATTGATCCTCCGCATCGAAGGAGTTTGTCGCGCAGTTCGCGACAGCGACTGAT